GCTGGAGAACAAGACCATGTGGGGCCCCGCTGCCCACTGCAGCTCTTGAGACACAAATGAAGCCCCTAAGGGGCCAGCAGCCCTGTTCAGAGCCTGGCAGTACCACTCGCCCTCATGCCAAACCTTGGCCCCTACCCTGTCATGTTCATGGGGACACAGGAAATGTCACACCTGGAAACAAGAGGCACACCATGAAACGACAGGGCTGGTGCCTTTGTTCCCAGTGGCAGACCCAGTCCTGGGCTCCCACAGCAGGATGAGGATGAGGTCAGGGTGCTGGGCAGAACCTTGCTGTCGTGGGGCCATAGGGTGACATTGCCCATGACCAAGGGCTGCCCAGGGGGGCAGAAGTGCAGCCAATGCTGCAGGACCCATGGGCTCCTCGTGCAGTACAACAGAGCAGCCCCCAGCCAGCCCTGCTCTGCCTGCCAGCCTCGTGCATGACCCTGGAGATCTGCACCACGGGAAACATCTCTTCCCATGGCTGGAAGGGAAAGCATCAGCCCTGCTCTGTGGCCCGTGGTGTGTTCCCACATCCTGGTTGTGGGGCTGCAGTTTGAGCAGGGCTGCAGCACCCTTGGGGGATGTCCCAGGGGCTCCCAGTGCAGGGGGGCTGGAAGAAGGGCAGGGAGCACCCAACAGTGCCCCGGGTGCAAGCTGGGAGCACAGGAGACCTTGGACCTGCAGTGCAGGGCAGGGACAGGGCTGCGGGGCCTCATCCCCTCCCTGAATGACAGGGATGAGCACAGAGCTGCGGCACTAAGACATCTGGTCTGGGACACCAGCACAGCCTCCTGCAGCACAGACACCAAGGGCAGGGCCGTGGCAGGGACTTGCTGTGTTTGTCCTATCAAACAGGGACTGTAAAGATGCCTAAAAGGCCCCTGCAATGGCAGGAGGTTTTTGTATCACTTTCCTATTGTTTCATGTCACTGTGGGAACATAATTGCTGCCATCGTAGCCACCACAGTAATAGACGGCCTCGTCCTCAGCTTGGACCCCAGTGATGGTTAACGTGGCTGTGGTGCCGGACTTGGATCCAGAGAATCGTGAAGGGATGCTCGAGGGTCTCTTGGTGCTACCATAGATCACAGTGACAGGGGCAGTGCCAGGCACCTTCTGCTGGCACCAGCCAACAGCACTGCTGCTGCCAAGCTCAGATTAGGTGGGGCCATGGAAGGGACCTGCCCGACCATCGGAGAGCAGGGACTCCTGACAGGTCCCTGTGGTGACAGGAGGTTTTTGTATCACTTCCTCATTACTCTTTGCCACTGTGCCAGCACCAGCACTGCTGTCCCAGCTCCCACAGTAATAGTAGGCCTCGTCCTCGGCTAGGACCCCAGTGATGGTTAACGTGGCTGTGGAGCCGGAGCTGGATCCAGAGAATCGCGAAGGGATGCCCGAGGGTCTCTTGTCGTTAGCATAGATCACAGTGACAGGGGGAGTGCCAGGCACCTTCTGCTGGTACCAGCCATAGTAGCTGCCACCACCAGAGCAGGTGATCTGGGCGTTCTGTCCTGGCTCCACTGAGACCGATGGGGGCTGAGTCAGCGCTGCCTGGACCAGGGAACCTGGAGAGGGAGAGGAGAGAGGGGAGAAGATGGGGGTCAGCGGGCGCCCAGGAGCACAGCCCTGCCCGGGCAGCGGGACAGGGCCCCTGTGCACAAGGGCTCCGTGCAGGCGCAATGGGTCTGGCCAGGGCACCTGAGCCATGGGCGAGCAGCGCGAGGAGCAGAGGGGCCCAGGCCATGGTGCGATCCCACCAGCTCCGTGTCCCCACCACGATGGGGCTGTGCCGGGGACCCCAACTCCCTTTTAAGCCCCCACTCGCCCCGGCACGGCCCCTCCATGCAAATCTGAGCCCGCGCTTGCGCCAGGTCCTGCCCGCACCTCTCTTTCCACCTCCCGGCCTGCTCCACCACCAGCCCCACACCCCAGGGCAGTGGGGCTTGTCCCTGGGCACAGATGGAGACACCTCCCAGTTCAGTGCAGCAAGCCCACCAGCACGGATCCCCCATCCACATTGCTGGGCCAGTGGTCAGGGCAGACGTGAGCTGCTGCGGGTAATGCGGGCAGGCAGTGCCGCAGCTCTGAGTGTTGGCTCTGGAATGACACCAACACCAGCACTCCCCACCCCAGTTTCGCCATCTTCCACTCCTATGGGTGTCCCAGGTCATTAAGGTACCCTCTTACTCTGCTGCTTTCCTGCCCTGGCTCTTGCCCTGCCAGCCCATACCCACCTCTCAAAACCCGTGCTCTTCCCAGGTGTCCACTCCCCAGCACCATGGGAGCACCCAGCACTGGCCCCCAGCAATGCCACCCCATGAGCACCACATCTGGTGCTGGGCAAACACAGCCAGAGCAGGGGCAGCCCCAGGGCTCTGCTCAACCATCAGGGCAGTCCCTGGCCCGCCCTGCTCTGACCCAGGGCACAGGGCTCGTGGCCACCTTGGGCCAAGCCAAAATTCACTGCGACCACAGGAAATGCCACCACCCTGTGACCCCCCCCTGTCCCCATCGCTGCCTGCCTCTGGGTGCTCAGGGTACGGAGAGCAATGGGCAGAGCAGGGTGCAGGGGTCTGTCTCCTTGTGGGCTGTACAGAAGGGACCTGCTGGAGCAGAACACGTGCCCCATGGCAGGAGCCGCCTCACAGGAACACGTCCTGCTCCAACACAGCATCCAAGCAGCACTTGCAGCAGCAGGCAGCACCAGGGGGGACCTGCGGCAACAGCAGCCTTGGGCGTCACTTCCCCAGTGCTGGGAGTCACCATGACGCTGACCAGCTCTGGTGTCCCAGCCAGCACAGGAGAAGACAGCCTCTGCCTCAGCCTGGAGCTCAGTGATGAGGAGTGTGGCCATGGGGAGAAGCACCTTCCCTGGTGCTGCACAGCCCCTTGCCAAGTGACAGGGGATGGGCACAGACGTGGGGGTCTAATGGACAGCCGAGCTGGGACATCAGGCACAGGTGCTTGCAGCCCAGGGCAGGGTCATGGCAAAGACCTGTCCCACCACCAAACAGGGACAGCAGAGACTAATAACTGGTTCCTGCAATGGCGTGAAGTGTTTGTATCGCTTCCTCATTGCTCCGTGTCACCATTAGAGCTGCCATCGTAGCCACCACAGTAATAGACGGCCTCGTCCTCGGCTTGGACCCCAGTGATGGTTAACGTGCCCTTGGAGCCGGACTTGGATCCAGAGAATCGCGAAGGGATGCCCGAGGGTCTCTTGGTGCTCTCATAGATCACTGTGACAGGGGCACTGCCTGGTGTCTTCTGCTGGAACCAGCCACAAACACGATTGCTACACCCAGATGTAATCTTCCCCCCGGGGACAGAGACACTGGGGTGGGTGAGCCAGAGCCATGTGAGAGCAAGGGACTCTGGCAGGATGTCTCCCTGCCCTGCTGCAGTGCCTGAGGATCCTGCAGGCTGGCAAATGCCCCTGCACCCACCCCTGGCACCCGGCATGGCTGCATTGCCGCAGGGCTCCAGGTGAAGCTCAGCCTGGGGGAGCAGAAATGCTGCAAAGCTTTTCCCAGGGAGCTCCATGGACCCAGCTCCTAGCACTGCCCCAGGCTCCTCTGCCCCTCACATGGGTACTAGCAGTGGAGACAAGCACAGCCAGGGCTTCACCAGTACCACAGCCCCATCACTGGAGACACAGTCACTGCCCTGAGACACGGCACACAGGGAAGGGCATGGGGGGGGGGAATGGAAAACCCCAAAGCTGAAGAGACAGCCCTGCTTGGCGGAGAGGAAGCAGGAGATAAAACCCACACCTCTGACTCTCAAAGTCTCACTTGCACATAGCTCTGTGTCATCATGAGATTGATCTGCACTGCTGTCGTCCCAGCTCCCACAGTAATAGAGGGCCTCGTCCTCTGCTTAGGCCCCAGTGATGGTTAACGTGGCCATGGTGCCAGAGATGGATCTGGAGAATCAGGAAAGGATGTCCAGGATCTCTGGTTGTTCTGATAGATCAGAGTGACAGGGACACTGCCAGGTACCCTCTGCTGGAACCAGCCGTAGCTGTTGTTAATCATGGAGAAGGCAATGCAGGTGATTACTTCTGAGGACACTTACATTACGAGCACATGAGTAGACCTGCCTAGAGACCAGGAGGGAGAGAAGGCGGCAGAAGATGGGATCACAAGTGCTGCAGGAGCACAGCCCTTCCTGGGCAGTGGGACAGTGATGGGTTTCCTGTGCCAGGGGCCGCAGGGCAGGGCATCTCCAGTCTAGGGAGCCCATTGACAGATGATGTGTGACAGAAGGAACGGATGAATCTCCAGTACGCATTGGGCTGGTGAGATGCACCACCATGGAGACCAGAGACAGGGTACTGCTGGGGCAGGGGGCATGAGCTCCACCAGGGCCTCTCGAAGACCAAACGTGCCCCGGGTAACACCCTCTTCCCACACACGTCCTGTCACTACAATAGCATGAAGCACTCAGGGAACATGGACTCTGGCCCTTTGGCTTCTCGGCACCCCTTGAGATTAGTCAGGAATGTCCACAAAGGCAGCCCAGGCCAAGTTGTTGGTGGGATGAGAGGGGTGGTAGTGCAAAGGAGGGACATAGTGCCTGGAGCTCACAGCCTGCAATAGAAATACATTCCTAGAGCAAATAGATCCCTCCACAGCCAAGGATTGCCCTAAGCCTGCTCATCCCAATGGAAAAGCTCTCAGACACAAGAGGGACAGAGAATCCCTCTGCACAACAGTACAGCAACACTGTGCAATGGAAACCACCATTTGCAGTACCCAGAGCAAGGATGGAGGTGCCCAGTATCACACAGCAACACTGCACTGGTAGCACCAGAGGGGAAGTGGCATCAGAACAGACATGCAGACAAAACCCTGCAAAGGCAGAGCTGGAAGAAGGGCAAGTGCAACAGGGCATCAACTTCCTGCTCTCTGAAGCTTTTCCAAACATAGAGGAGGTGTAGGAAGGAACAGGAAGGAACATAGCAATCTTAGCATCACCATGACCCTGACCAGCATCAGTGCTGCTGTCCCAGCTCCCACAGTAATAGTCGGCCTCATCATTTGCTTGTACCCCAGTGATGGTTAACGTGGCCGTGGAGCCAGAGCTGGATCTGGAGAATCACGAAGGGATGCCCGAGGGTCTCTTGGTGCTACCATAGATCACAGTGATAGGGGCAGTGCCAGGCACCTTCTGCTGGTACCAGCCATAGTTGTTGCTGCTCCCAGAGCAGGTGATCTGGACGTTCTTTCCTGGCTCCACTGAGACCGATGGGGGCTGAGTCAGCGCTGCCTGGACCAGGGAACCTGGAGAGGGAGAGGAGAGAGGGGAGAAGATGGGGGTCAGCCAGTGCCCAGGAGCACAGCCCTGCCCGGGCAGCGGGACAGGGCCCCTGTGCACAAAGCTCCTTAAGGGCATGGAGAGACCCCAGCCCCACAGGCAGAGCCCAAGGAGTGAGGCCTTCTACCAGAAGCAAGAGGACATGTCTGACTGCAGCATGAAGTGGGAGGCAGATGAAAGGCAAAGACATGTCTTTTGTCAGGATAAGCACAGGGTCACATCCTGCATGGTGCGGTATAATCAGGAGGACTCCCACAGACATGGCCATGCAGAGGGGACGTGAAGCTGCTGCAGGCCAACAGCCCAGCTCCCCAGTGAAGAAGAAGGGCAGAGACCCTCCTCTGCAGCTCACTTTCACATCTCTCTGCATTGCAACAACAGCATCAGTGCTGCTGTCATAGCTCCCACAGTAATAGACGGCCTCGTCCTCGGCTTGGACCCCAGTGATGGTTAACGTGGCTGTGGAGCCGGAGCTGGATCCAGAGAATCGCGAAGGGATGCCCGAGGGTCTCTTGTCGTTAGCATAGATCACAGTGACAGGGGCAGTGCCAGGCACCTTCTGCTGGTACCAGCCATACCAGTTGCTGCCCCCGGAGCAGGTGATCTGGGCGTTCTTTCCTGGCTCCACTGAGACCGATGGGGGCTGAGTCAGCGCTGCCTGGACCAGGGAACCTGGAGAGGGAGAGGAGAGAGGGGAGAAGATGGGGGTCAGCCAGTGCCCAGGAGCACAGCCCTGCCCGGGCAGCGGGACAGGGCCCCTGTGCACAAGGGCCCCAGTCTGGCTGGGGCACATGAGCCATTGCGAAGCACCATGAGGAGGAGATCAGAACACGTGCCCCATGGCAGGAGCCGCCTCACAGGAACACGTCCTGCTCCAACACAGCATCCAAGCAGCACTTGCAGCAGCAGGCAGCACCAGGGGGGACCTGCGGCAACAGCAGCCTTGGGCGTCACTTCCCCAGTGCTGGGAGTCACCATGACGCTGACCAGCTCTGGTGTCCCAGCCAGCACAGGAGAAGACAGCCTCTGCCTCAGCCTGGAGCTCAGTGATGAGGAGTGTGGCCATGGGGAGAAGCACCTTCCCTGGTGCTGCACAGCCCCTTGCCAAGTGACAGGGGATGGGCACAGACGTGGGGGTCTAATGGACAGCCGAGCTGGGACATCAGGCACAGGTGCTTGCAGCCCAGGGCAGGGTCATGGCAAAGACCTGTCCCACCACCAAACAGGGAGAGCAGAGAGTAATAACTGGTTCCTGCAATGCAGGAAGGTTTTAGTATCACTTCCTTATTGCTCCATTTCACCACGTCAGCACCAGTGCTGCTGTCATAGCTCCCACAGTCATAGATGGCCACATCCTCAGCTTGGACCCCAGTGATGGTTAACGTGGCTGTGGTGCCGGACTTGGATCCAGAGAATCGTGAAGGGATGCCCGAGGTTCTCTTGGTGCTACCATAGATCACAGTGACAGGGGCAGTGCCAGGCGCCTTTTGCTGGTACCAGCCAACAGCACTGCTGCTGCCAAGCTCAGATTAGGTGGGGCCATGGAAGGGACCTGCCCGACCATCAGACAGGGACAGCAGGGACTCCTGACAGGTCCCTGTGGTGACAGGAGGTTTTTGTATCACTTCTTCATTACTCTTTGCCACCGTGCCAGCACCAGCACTGCTGTCCCAGCTCCCACAGTAATAGACGGCCTCGTCCTCGGCTTGGACCCCAGTGATGGTTAACGTGGCTGTGGAGCCGGACTTGGATCCAGAGAATCGCGAAGGGATGCCCGAGGGTCTCTTGCTGTTATCATAGATCACAGTGACAGGGGCAGTGCCAGGCACCTTCTGCTGGTACCAGCCATAGTAGCTGCCACCACCGGAGCAGGTGATCTGGGCGTTCTTTCCTGGCTCCACTGAGACCGATGGGGGCTGAGTCAGCGCTGCCTGGACCAGGGAACCTGGAGAGGGAGAGGAGAGAGGGGAGAAGGCAGGGGTCAGCCAGTGCCCAGGAGCACAGCCCTGCCCGGGCAGCAGGACAGGGAGTGCACAGCTGGAGGAGACCACAGCTCTCATTCAGGCAGCTGGTTGCTCTGCCTCTATCCTTTCCTTTTAACCAAAACCTAATTATTCAAACTTATACTAAAACAATGACCGAGTTTGACAGATGAACAAAGAAGGTGGAGTTTAAAGCTCGTGCTGTCCACAAGAGATTGTGGTCAAGTTCCCAGGGCCACTCTGTGGTTTGTATCCATAATTAATACGTGGCTATTTGGTCTCTTTTTCAGGACATTGAAACAAAAGACACATGGAGGAGCAAGGTCTAAATCTATTGTAATTTTTCAGCATAAGGGAAGGAAGCGTCAACAAAGTGCTGTTACTACAAACACCATCCATCAGTTTCTTCTAATTGATGCTCAACAAATAAGTGATTCATAAACATTCACACAGGTAGGGCAAAGACCAAAGCCACTGCAAGATGGGCAGAAATAAGCAAATAGGACTATAAGTAGTGTGAGAGAACATCTCAGCTCTATGGGCCCCATTGTTTCTACAGGGAAAATGCTTTGACTCCCTCCTGTCCATGGTCACAAGCACATTTTGGGAGCTGGGCCCAGCCAAACACATCCCAGCAGAAAGGCAGCTCTGGCAGCAGCAGGAAGACATGGCTCTCAGTAGCAAGAGGCAGCAGGGTGGCAGACGGTGCCACACTGTGAACACTGTAGGGAGGAGGACAATGGTCCCAAGCCATATGGTAACTCCTCCAGTTCTCTGAGACAGGAAAGGGAGGACGCATTCACAGCTCTGCATGTGCAGAGGGGACAGGAACTTGCCTCAGCCCCACAGCCACAACTCTGCTCAGCCAGGACAGAGAGGGTCACAAACCTACCCCTGATCTTGGAGTATGTGTCTCACTTTCTACTACTCATTGCCACCAGACACCATAGCTGCTGCTGCTGTCCCAGCCACCACAGTAATAGACGGCCTTGCCCTCAGCTTGGACCCCAGTGATGGTTAATGTGGCCGTGGAGCAGGAGCTGGATCCAGAAAATCGTGAAGGGATGCCCGAGGGTCTCTTGGTGTCCTTACAGATCACAGTGATAGGAGCAGTGCCAGGCACCTTCTGCTGGAACCAGCCATAGTAGCTGGTGCTCCCAGAGCAGGTGATCTGGACGTTCTTTCCTGGCTCCACTGAGACCGATGGGGGCTGAGTCAGCGCTGCCTGGACCAGGGAACCTGGAGAGGGAGAGGAGAGAGGGGAGAAGACGGGGGTCAGCAGGCGCCCAGGAGCACAGCCCTGCCCGGGCAGCGGGACAGGGCCCCTGTGCACAAGGGCCCCGTGCGGGCACAGTGGGTCTGGCCAGGGCACCTGAGCCATGGGCGAGCAGCGCGAGGAGCAGAGGGGCTCAGGCCATGGTGCGATCCCACCAGCTCCGTGTCCCCACCACGATGAGGCTGTGTCGGGGACCCCAACTCCCTTTTAAGCCCCCACCTACCGAGGCCATGGCCCTTCCTTGGATCACGGCAGGATCCTTCCTGCTCCTCTCTCCCCACCTCCATCCCAGCTCCCTTGAGCAGGAGCCGCTTCTCTTTCAGTTCCACAACAGAACTGCAGAGTAGAGAGATGGGGTTTGAAGGGGACTGGAACCACACGGAGACCAGGCGCTGCCGGGCTACCCAGCAGTGAGGAAACACAGCTCCTCCAGCTACAAAGTGAGCCATGAGTCTCCAGCGGCTTCAAAGCAACCATGAACAGACTTGGGCTGGAGCTTGTACCAGTCAAGCGCACGTAATCATCCTCCACACTCGCCTGGCCCGGGGCAGCCCCTCCTACCTGCACCAGGGAGTTACCCACAGGCACCAGGGAGTTACCCACAGGCACTCGGTTGTCCCCAGCCCTTTTGCCCCGTGAACGTCAGGATTGTGGTGTGGGGCCACACTGACACCGTGTGGGGACAAGGTGGCCCTCAGGGACAGGAGCAGTGGAACTGAGAGCAGAGCCCAGCACAGGACTAGCCCCATGCTGTCCCTCCTCGCTATGACAGCTTCCACCATGTCAAGAGACATCTCCAGCTCCTGCCACAACCTTCAGGACTTCTGTATGGGATCGTGATCAAGGCACCCCGTGCTCAGAGAGGGAGCCTCACACACACACACACACACACAGGGCATTTAGGCACAGCTGCTGTCATCAGAGGAGGGTGGGCATCAGCCCTGAACTGGCAGGGAGCGCAGGGACAGGAGCAGGATGGCACAGATAACAGCGCTTCTCCCAGCTTACCTGAGCCACAAGACCAGACACAGGACAAGGTGTTCTGAGGGAAGCAGGAACCAGCCAAACAACAGGTCTGCGCTACCAGGAGCTCTGTCACTTCTGCACCCTCCACATCCACCGTTAGGATTGCTGCCCCATACACGGCAGACAACAGATGGTCAACCAGGAGCACCCAACCATGGCCACCCTGGGGGCACCAGGATGCTGATCAGCACCACTGCTGTCCCAGGCACCACAGTAATAGACGGCCTCGTCCTCAGCTTGGACCCCAGTGATGGTTAACGTGCCCGTGGTGCCGGACTTGGATCCAGAGAATCGCGAAGGGATGCCCGAGGGTCTCTTGTCATTCCAATAGATCACAGTGACAGGGGCAGTGCCAGGCACCTTCTGCTGGTACCAGCCAACATAATTGCTGCTACTGCCAAGCCCGGAGCAGGTGATCTGGATGTTCTTTCCTGGCTCCACTGACACCGATGGGGGCTGAGTCAGCGCTGCCTGGACCAGGGAACCTGGAGAGGGAGAGGAGAGAGGGGAGAAGATGGGGGTCAGCCAGTGCCCAGGAGCACAGCCCTGCCCGGGCAGCGGGACAGGGCCCCTGTGCACAAAGCTCCTTAAGGGCACAGAGAGACCCCAGCCCCCCAGGCAGAGCCCAAGGAGTGAGCCCTTCTACCAGAAGCAAGAGGACATGTCTGACTGCAGTATGGAGCGGGAGGCAGACGAAAGGCAAAGATATTTCTTTTGTCAGGATAAGCACAGGGTCACATCCTGCACGGTGTGGTATGATCAGAAGGACATTCACAGACATGGCTATGCAGAGGGCACATGAAGCAACCAACCATGGCCACCCTGGGGGCACCAGGATGCTGATCAGCACTGCTGCTGTCCCAGCCACCACAGTAATAGACGGCCTCATCCTCAGCTTGGACCCCAGTGATGGTTAACGTGGCTGTGGTGCCGGACTTGGATCCAGAGAATCGTGAAGGGATGCCCGAGGGTCTATTGGTGCTACCATAGATCACAGTGATAGGGGCAGTGCCAGGCACCTTCTGCTGGTACCAGCCAACATTGCTGCCACTGCTAAGCCCGGAGCAGGTGAGCTGGATGTTCTTTCCTGGCTCCACTGAGACCGATGGGGGCTGAGTCAGCGCTGCCTGGACCAGGGAACCTGGAGAGGAGAGAGGGGAGAAGATGTGGGTCAGCCAGTGCCCAGGAGCACAGCCCTGCCCGGGCAGCGGGACAGGGCCCCTGTGCACAAGGGCTCTGTGCCGGCACAGCTGGTCTCAGAGGTACCTGAACCATGGGCGAGCAGCGTGAGGAGCAGAGGGGCCCAGCCACCTCTGCTGGTGGCTTGATCCCACCAGCTCTGTGTCCCCACCACCATGGGGTTGTGCTATGGGCATTGGCTCCCTCTTAAACCCCCTCCCACCTTGGCACTGGCCTTCTGTGGAAACAGGGTCCCTGCACTCACAGCCAGCTCCTGTCTTGCCCCTTCCCCATCCACTGCAGGCACATCTCGCCCACTAAATTCACCAAAATCAGACTGGACTGTCTGCTCCCAGGGTCACTCAGGTGGGAAAACCAAGTCCTGCTTCACACCAAAGCTCCATAAATGGGTTTCTCTCGGGAGTCACAGGACTATAACCAGCTGGATCAAGCTGTCCTCAGCTCTGGTTTTCGTACATACAGCCTTAGCCAAGACATGCACCACGGAATAGCAGAAACACTTGTGTACCCTGCTCTGCTGAAGCACCTTCTGCAGCCGCCTTAGCACAGCACCACGCAGCAACCAGGCAAACCACAGCTTCCTTTCAGCCATCAGAGCTCCCTCACTTCAAATTCCAGCCCACCTCCATCTTTTTGAAGCATGATGAATAGGACACAGACACGTGAAGACTGGTGTTTATTATTCTATTCAGTTGTACAGAAGAGGTTCAATGCCAAACTACCACCACCCTCTGCAATTCCTTATTTAGGAGCATAGCAGTTTCTCCATAGACACAGGAGATTCTCCACAGTCCTCTCTCTTCAGTTTCTTCTGTTTGGGAACCAAGACTAACTGGTGTTTCAGGGCTTTTTCTTTTACAAGCTCACGATAAAGCGCTGTGGCCACTTCATTGTGCGGCAGCAGCACCCCCCGGTGGCCTGCCTCCACCTGGACTTAACCGGGAAGAGAAGCAATGAAAGCGGGTGAGAAGTCAACAAGCAAGTCGGACATGATTCAGTACTTCTTGAACTCAATTCTTTCTACTTTCACATCATCCTCAATTAGCTGGTATACATAAGCCACAACTGTAGAAGCCTGGATATCCATCAACACAAATGAAGGGATGATGTTCCTGGAAAGAAAACATAATTTGTCCATCTTCCCAATCAACTCGCACTTCTTGCTACGAACATACCTTATGTTTATGTGTTCTAATACACTCAGCTGCCCACGGCTGCAGGGATCCAGGAAACTGCAGTTTGCAGGCACCAACCACAGCCCCTCAGGCAGAGTTGCCCTTTGCCTAGCAAAGCCCAAGTCATGCCTGGCTCGGACATGCAAGCTGACAGTGCCTCCAATAGTCCGATACTCTACAAAATATTAGCATGCAGCTTCTGGGAAGACACCAGAAAGCAAAGCACCTTCAAGAAGCTGCTCAACTCACCCCCTCCAGGCCCAGGAAGAAGCCCCAGACACACCAGTGCCGGACTGGCACATGGACTAAGTCAAACCCTGGTGACAGGGGAGCCCCACTGCATTCCCAGGGAGGGAAGAGAGCTGGCCTCCTGCTCCCCACAGCACCTTAGCAGCGTTCTGCAGCGCAGTGGCTGGACACTCACAGGTGAACACAGACGTTCAGGTATCACCTACGGGCTCTGCTGCACTGGGCAGCTCAGGGCTCCCCTCACTCACGTTTCCAAAGCATTGTAGGCTCCTGTAGCTGATCCCGGGTTGATGTAAAATTTGTTTTCATGCTCAAATGCTTCAAATCTGTGTGTGTGTCCAGAGATGAGAATGTCCACATCCAGCTGCCTCTGCAGCAGGGCCAGGCTGGCCACATCGCCCCAGGGGATTACCTGATGGCCATGAATCAGCCCGATTCTGAACTGCCCGACAGTTACAACCTTCTCTTCAGGATAATTCAGGCTCTGAAAAGGCAAAAGGCACAGCTACAAATCAGCCAGAGAGGCCTCACCTACACCACACAGGCTCCTACATCCCAAAACATAAACCTGCCTTTCACTATTGGGGAGCACAAGGTCTTTCTCAACGCGCAGACCCACTGGATACTCATACCACACCCCAGCAAGAGAAACCACAGAGCAGAGTGAAGAGTTTGTGCAGAGATCAGGTGCCTCAAGGCTGCCCAACAGTAACTACACACACACACAAGCCCCCAGCTCCTGGAGCTATGCAGCCAACTGGGAAACTCCCGTGGCCTGTCAGCAGCCACAGACAGACTTGTGCAGAGTCCATGTGAGCCAAGTGCATCGACTCCCCCAGGCAACAGGGGTCTAGAAAATAACCCTGTTACTTCAGTGTCACTCATTCCCATCTCCTATCCTGGCAAATAACAGCTTAGGAACTGCTAACACTGAAGGGCTCCCAAGTTTAATCGAGACCACAGATTCCTCAGGAAGGGGGCTGAGAAATTAGCAGCAGCAAGAACATTACCTCAGCGTCCCCCCTAACAACATGGACGTCCCCAGCCAGGGTCCGGAGGTAGTCATAGGTCTCCTTGGTGCAGAGGTTCCCTGTACACAAGATGTGCTGAATCTTTCCTGGAACCAGCAGCTTCTTGAACTTCACAGGTAGACCAGAGCACCGGTGTGGGATGTGAAGGTCCCCTAACACTAACACCAACTCCACACACAGCAGGGGGAAAACGAGAGTTAAACTCGGGGTACTCAACGGAACACCACAAACCCTTCCTGCCGCTCCAGGCCGCTCACAAAGCCCGGAGAGCCATTACGGGCCCAGCAGGGGCTTCTGTGCGGTACAGCCGTGAGGAAACACCGCCGGCACTCCCCGGCAGCCAGCCCGCTCCCACCGGGGAGCCGGGCCGCGACCTCCATGCAGCCGCGGCTGGGGCTGCCGAGGGGGATCAAAGAAGAGACCCGGGTCAAGCAGCCGCCCCACGCCGAAACCCCGGGCGGGGGCCCGGCTCCCGGGGGCGCAGGGAGCGGTGCTGTCCGGTGCGGTGCGGTCCGGTCCGGTCCGGCCGTCGCTCACCATCGCGCCGCTCCACGCCGCTCCGTTACCAGGACGCGCACAGCCGTAACCAGGACGTGACGCATCCTTTTTCTCCTCCTCCGAGCCAATGGCAGCGCCGCCAGCTCCACACGTGACGTCGGCGCCCATGGACGGGTCCTAACGCCCGCCCGTGTGCCCGCAGCGCTGCGCCGGGGACGAAGCGCTTTGGCGTGTCCGTCCCGTCCCGTCCCCCCCAGTGTTTTAAATGAAATCCATGGGATTTTTGTGCAAAATGCACGCTCTTTCTGTGTGGAAACGTGCATACGAAGTACCTACAGGTGTCTGCGTGGTTACACGCGTCCTTTTCCCCTCAGAAGACTGGGGGAGCTGAGACGCAGCAGGGTCTGGGGTGGGTGGTGAGGGGAGATGGCTGCGCGGAGACACGGGTGGAGGAAGGCGCTGGGGGCCTCGAGACGGCTTTGAGGGTGCTGCGGAAGGGGACAGGTCCCTGGGGCATGGGGACAGCGTCCCCGCGCAGAGGGGTCTCTGGCTCTGGTGAAGATGGGCTCTGCCCGGGATGGGTGAGCACCATCCAGGTCCTGCAGACCCCATCAAACTCCCCACCACGGCTCCTCTGGGTCACCCTCCTCATCGGGTACCCGCAGGCACGGCCACATCCCTGCAGAGAAGCCCCAGGGGCTCCTCAGGACGTCACACACACGACACAAGCCCCATGGCAAAGGATTAACCTTTATTATCAGGTGAAACAAACCACGCAGAAGCCCAAGCTGGATTAAGCCCACGTTGTGCCAAGTGAAGGAAGAGCCCGGTTATGGCAGAGCTTGCGCTGCAACAGGAAATCCCTGCTAATGCGCTCCAGGGCCGAGCCCTGGCTGGTCTCGCACTGTGTCAGCCTGTCCAATGTTCCATGGGGGACTTTGGGGTTGAACAGGAGGTTGCTGCACCTCACAGCGCAATGCAGTGCTGCCGGGCTCGCTGCAGCACACTAGAGGGTCCTTTTCCGTTCCTCCTAGGGCTGCCACCTCCCTACTGAATAACTCGTGTCAGGCTTGCAAGGGGAAATGCAAAAAGCTTTTGTACTCTTGCTTCTAAAACCAGTTGAAGGCAGCTGACAGGGAGCAGTAATAGTTGCCACTGTCTTCATCACAGATGGATGTGATGGTGAGGATGCAGGCGTTGCTGGCGATGTCTTTGGTAGCAGAGAAGCGGTCAGGAGTCTTGGTGGCCTTGTGCTTCTCTCGCTCAGAGTTGTAATAGAGCAGGTATGTCAAGTTGTGCCCCGGGCGCTGCTGGAACCAGGAGATGCCGAAGTCACTGATGTTGTACTGGGGGCTCAGGGTGCAGGACAAGCGAGCAGTCTGCCCGGGCAGCACCAACATGAAGGTTGGCTGGGTCAGCACAGGCACAGCCCTGGAAGCTGCGCACGAGGGATGCAGTTACTGATGGGCTGAGCCATGTCCCACATCATCCTCAGCCGCAAAGCGTCCCCGTGTCCCTTGAAGCAATCCCATCACCCAATCTCCATCCTCCCATCACAGCCCTGGAGGAAACGCCCTGCTGAGATGAACATCCCCTTGTGCAGCCCAGCCCTGCCACCACCCCACACGAGACAGCAGCTTGCTCAGCCACACCACCCTTACCTGTCTCCATCATCCCCACCAGGAGCAGGACCATGAAGCCCAGGGCCATGGCAGGACACGGAGGACAGGAGTCTGTTTTGGAGAGGGTCTGCAGTGCTACAGGAACGCGGGTGGCTGTGCTGCTGCCGCTGAGGTGTATGTAAATGACACAGGGGGCTCGGGGACTCCAGCTCCTCACGTTGCTCACTTTGCTGCAGCCAGGCTTCAGAGAGCGGGCTTGAAGCAGTGGGGTGAGAGCTGAGCATTGCGCCCCACCACCCGCATCACCCAGGCTAGGCCATTTCCTCCCGGCGCACTGATGCACAGTCCATCACTCCCTGCCCCAGCACTGCGGTACAGCAGCACTGAGCAGCCTTCCTCTCTGATGGGGACAGAGAGGTTTCTCTGGGACCTTTTGCCCTCTGCCACCGATACGCAAGGGGCCCGAGGCACACCATGCCAAGGGGCAGCAGCAGGCTGGGACAAGCTGGCTCTGCTGCCACCAGAGGCAATGACAGGATGCGCCAGAGCCGCCCCGGCAGCTGGCTCATGGCAGAAGCAATATAAGGAAAGTTGCTGCCCCCTTCTCCATGCAGCTGCACCAAGAACGGCTGCCCCACGGCACGGCCTGGGAGCTGCCGCGGGTGTGAGCGCTCTGCCGCGGGCAAACACCCCGGGGTGGCTGCCGAGGTCACCGGCCACAAGGCACTGCCCAAGGGAGCGGGTGCAGCGAGACGTGGCTGCAACTCAGGTGGCGCGGAAGGAGAGCAGACCGTTACGGCCAGGGCTGCCCCACACGGCAGCTGCAGCACCCTGCTGCCCGTGACACCCAGCACAGGCCAGAGACGCCACGTTACACTGTCAGGGGCTGCCCCCCCTGGCACATCGCTGCAGCCACCAGCCCACGGCAGACCTTCGCCGCAGGGTGGTCGCAGTGCCCTCGCCAGCACCACCATCCAGGGATGGCTCTTTCCTTCCCCTCCGGAGCACCCAGCCCTGCTCCCAAGCTGTCCCCAAGGCGAAGAAGTTTGCAAGTGGCTCCTGACGTGCCTGGCCCATGTGAGCTCCTGGCTTGAGGGAAAATGCAGCTCTGAGGGAGAGCCTGGCCTCGTCAGAACTCCCTGGCACAGGGAGAAACTGCTGAGGAAGCACGACCTGCATCCAAGGATGCGGAAGTGCAGGCTGGACGCTTGCTTTGCTGTGGTGCATCCCTGCACTGCTCTGAGCAGGGGCACCCAATGCATTGTCTGGTTTTATCTCATTCTCTACAAGCTGGTCTAAAAAAATCACTTACACAACCTCCCTTGGGAGCAGAGAGGGGAAAATGAGAGCAAAAGGTGCTGATGGGGACGATCAGAGCAGCTATGACAGATGCCACAGAGCAGAGCGCACACCTGCAGCAGCATGAAGCAAGAAGGTGCCAGTTAGACCTGATGGGATCACGCAGTACCTTATGCAGCTGGACTGCTGCATATGGTTGGGCAGCAAGAGCTGTTGTACGCCTGCCAGGGAGACGTGGAGCACATGGGTGCCATGCAGCAGCCCCGTACCTGCGGCTCTGTCCCGTCCAAGGCAAAATTGCTGCAGCAGACTTGCCACAGCCAGCCCCTACAGCAGGCGGTACCAGTGGCACGAGACCAGCTCCAAGGCACGTTCAAGGCTTGGTGTTCAACTCCACAAGGTGAACAGGAGCCACTCTGTGCTGTGTGCTAGGTGAGGCACATCACACACACCGCATCCATGGGTCAGAGACTGTGAAAGGAAGACCCACCAAGGCCCAAGGAGATCAATCACCTCCTCCTGCAAGAAGGGGCATTTTGAAGAAAGGGACCTTGCCCATGGCATGTCTGTTACAGTGAGATACAGGTAGAGAGGGAAAGCACCAGCTTCACCTCAGCTCTGGGGGCAGCTGGACACCTGGAGCAACTTCCAGGCACTGGCTTCATAGGGAGGGACAGGGCACCTCAATGCCCAGGGAGCAGGGCAGGAGAGCTCTGCCAGGCACAGCTGCATCCTTTGTGTTACCTGTTTAAAAAGGGAGATCTTTAACCTCTACACGATGAACAATGGAGGACAAAACCCAGCAGAGCTGAGCTAACTGCGGGGATTGAGGCCAGAGGCAGCTCTGGGGGATCATTGGATGGGGGCTCTGCTTATACAGACGCAACCAGAAGAGCCAAGGGGCATGGGGTATGTGACAGCTGCCAGCAGAGCTCCTGTGCTCTGGCTGTGTAAGAAGGGTTCCCTGGCTCTAACCCTGTCCCTCAGCTTTAGAGAGCAGGTATCTGTGGCTGCTGGGGGGGAACGGGCAGATCCTGTCCTGACCTTGCCTACTTGGCTCAGAGCCTTTGCCTGACGTGCGCAGCTGAAGCCACCAGACACATGCGGAGCCTTTGCTCCCTCTGCTATTTGAGCTGCACCCCCAGCTCCAGCCACTGACGTGGGTCAGCCCCGGGGGTTTCTCAATCCTGACAAACTCAGTGAGAGATCACGACCAAAGCGTCCTGCGGCGACTGTGCCACAGCCTCCAGCTCCTTCCCCTTGTGACCAGCATGGATTCATGGAAGGGGTCAGTGCTCACTGCTTCTTCCTGCTCACGTCTGATGAAATAACAGAGACACTGCATGAACCGGAATCGTTTTCCCCAAATCGAAAGAACTCATCCCTGCTCCTAACCTGGAGCGTTCCCAGCACCAAACACCAGCAGACGAGGCTGTAATACAGCAGCTCAGAGCCCTGCTGAGGGCCACACAGGGACCCTACCATTGCTGGCTGTGGCACTGGGCACTTCTCAGCCACCCGCTGTGCCTCCTGCCCTTCAGGCCCCTGGACCCAGGGTGACCACGCTCCTATCTCAGGGCTCACCCCCTGTGCTCAGCCAACTGCCAAGAGATGGTGAACCTGCAGTGCCGTGTCCTGATCCCCATTGCTCACCTGAAGAGAAGGTGTCAGTGCAGGCCTGAAGGTACAAGTGCTCCTTGTGACCAGTGGAGGTCCATCACCCGCCAGCAGAGAAGCAGCAGAGGGTGACAAACAGGCTGCCTGGGAATCCCGGATCATCCCGAGACACAGGGAAAGGGGCTGCAAGGCTCCTCCCCTCGAGACCTGAACAGATCTTCCTCAAAGCACAACCTGCTAAGGAAAACACCTCAAAGCCCCACAGGCTCATGCTGGCTGCACAGGGGCACCCTGGACCTTATTCATGTTTCTCTCCTTCCAGACTGCATCCATCTGCTGGATGAAACAGGAACCCTGATGAACCTGAGCAAAGCAGGAAATCCTGCATCCAAATTCACCTAGGGAAAAGGAGCACTACAGCCTCAGTCATCCAGCGAGACAGCACAGCTCAGCCTCTGCTTTGGGTGTGTTGTTGCCACGCCACAGAAACCCTGTTACATCCTACAAACAATGACACAGCTCTGGAAAGGGGCTTTATTCACTTGGACATGGCACAGTAGCTCTGAAGCAGCCGAAGCCAGCTTGGATTAAGACCTAAACCTTGTGTTTGTCCGAGATGGTTGCACTGTGGGAGAAGGAACCTTTCCCAAGCAGAGCTGTTTTCAGCCAGGAGAGAGATGAATCCATTCCCCCATTCTGCTAGCAGGAAAAAGCTCTGAAGGAAACCAAAGCCAGAGGAACACGCACCTGCATCACTGGAGGAGCTCACCTCCAACACCATCACTGCTGCTGGCAGCGGCATTCCAGAGACCAGTCACCAGGGAGCTGCTCAGGAGCTCCAGCAGCAGCACTGAGCCACGATGGGCCAGAAGACAGCACACACCTGCTGCAGGTGCTCCTGATGGCTCTCCTGTACAGCTTCCACCCCCCCAGCACCATCAGTCCCCAGCATTCATTTCTTAAAGGGAGTCAGTTACAAGTCCTTCATAGTGGTTCCTCCTGCTCAGGAGCCTGGGGCTTCTCAGCACACAGAGCACTTGGGCTTTGAGTCCAACACCTTTTTCCCTTGGCTGTCTCAGGAGAGCACAAGAAACACCAGATAAGGGCAGGGACAGCTCAGCTCAGCACACTGCCCACCAAGAACTTAGGTCTTGACATTTACAAGGGGCAGGACTCACACCCCCAGCCTCCAGTACCTGCTGCCAGCTTCTCCCATGTAGACCTGGATTTCCCCACAGATCCAGGCAAGTGGCTGAGAACTTGCCCGTACTTAGCAGCGAGAGGTCAGCAATTAACAGATTAATCCTGCCATGAAATTCAGCTGTTCAGCATCTAAAAGCAACTTCAAAACCCTTTCACACCACATGTAACAGGCCCAGCCTGCAGGCAGCACTCAGACTGTTGTTACACTGACAGAGAAAAAAACAGCTCCAAGCTTCACCTGATGCTGGTGACCTTGAGAACATTGCATAATCCACCAAGGCTTAAGCCAACCGTACCCTGTCACACAGCCAAGATGGGCATTTCCTTAGCTCCAGGGTCAGAACAGCTCTTCAGGAAGAGGGGCTTGGTGGAAAAAGAATTTGTGACTGAAGATACTGTAGGGCACATCCACCTTCAATGACCTCTCTCTGTTGGAGGGCAGCCAATGCAGCCTCTGCTCAGTCATGGATCTGCTTTTGCCAAGTCATGCAGGCACAGTCCTGTGCACAAAATATGGAGTCATGCCTTGTCCTTGAATACTGATAACATTAGGGTAGCTTGATTTTAGCTTGAGAATTGAATAAAGACCATGCACAAGTGATAGGTCCAAATAAACTCCTTTATTTTTCTGCAATAAATACAACACTAGCTGAACTCCAGTCTCACAGCTCCAACCATTCCTTCTCTCCCCTACTAGTCTAGAAGTGAGTTACCACTACAAGACTCCTGTCTGGCTCATCTGTTCCCTCAGGCTCGCTCCCCGTCCATCCTCCCGCTGCCTACAGGCAGCAGGGCTCTACACCAGGCTCCTCTTCCCTGCAAGAGGACACATCCTTCACAGGAGAGAAGAAACACCTATGGGGAGAAAGCACAAGTTCAGCATTAGGTTCATTTTCCAGCAGCTCTCACTTAAAGGTGACCAGATCAAAACCTAACTCCCGACAACTGCCCTGGTTGCAGGTGCAACAGGAACTAGGGCATCAAGTAGGGAAAGCAGCAAGCTTCCCATGCCGTAAGAGAAGAACATCTGAGAGATCATCTACAGGCTCACCACCTTTACAGGACACGGTCAGGACCATCTCCCCTGCCCTTTCCAGTTCCCTTTGCATTCCAGGACACGGGAAAGACAGAGCTGCTTCCCATTTAAAGCCCTGAAGGGCACTCTAACCTCGACAGAATGCTCCTGCAACCTCTGCCCCCCTCAGGCATTCCGGCAGCAGCTCCCCTCCGCGCAGCCGTCCCGCAGGGGCACAGGCTCACCGTTGCTGTACTTGCACTGCTTCAGCGCCTCGTTGAAGCCCTCGCACAAGGTCAGGTCCCTCTGGTTGGTGGCGCACTCCAGGAACTGCTTCATCTCATAGTGGCAGGGGCCGTAGTTGGGCTGCTGGAACACGGGCTGCTGCCGGGGAGGGCCTGCTCAGGAGGGGGCTCTGGGGGCAGAGCCAGCTCCTCAGCCAGCACCGGCCCCGTCACCTTGTGCTGAGCCAGGCTCCGCCGGCCCGCCCCCCCCGCTCCCGCCCCGCCGCGAAGGGCGGCCCAAGGACGCCGGCCCGGGGCAGGCCCAGTTCCGGGCTCACCTGCGCGGGAGCCGCCGCCTTGGCCGGTTCGGAGGAGCCGCCGCTGAAGGCGCCGGTGAGGGCGCTGCCCACGACGTGTCCCACGGCGGAGCCCACGGCCACGCCGGCCGCCGTGCTCGCCATCTGCGCCATCAGACCGGGCTGTGCGGGCTGCGCCGCCGGCACCGGGGCCGCCGGGGGGGGGCTGCGGAGACACCGGGTCAGCGAGCGGCGGCGGCGGCGGGCAGAGCCCCCCGTGCCCACCCCCCCCGTACCTGGCCGGTGCCGGTGCCGCCGCGGGCCGCCCCACGCTCCTGCTGCCGCGCGCCATCGCCTCGAGCTCTCCCGCCCCGCCCCGCGCGCCGCCTTAAGAGGAGCCGCCGCCGGCACGTGACGAGTAGCGCGCGCTCGGCGGGCGCACCGGCGCCGCGCCCCTCTGCGCATGTGCAGAGAAGGATGGGGCGGCTCCGAACACCGCCCCCCAGGCCCGGAGCCGCTCGGCCCCGCCAGAGGGCGCCCTCGGCCCGGTGCAGGGCCCGGACCCGGACCCGGGCCGTCGCCGCGGCGGGGCGGGGCGGGAGCGAGGCGGTCCCCGCCCCCTGCCCGCTCGCACAGACACGGCCCCGCTGCCCGGGCTCCCCCCGCAGTCCCTGCTCCCGGCAGAGCGCCCCGCGGCCCGGCCCGGCCCTCCCAGGCGCGGAACCGCAGCCCGGGCCCATCCCTCTCCAGCAGCCGACCTCCGGTGCCGGCGGCACTCGGCCGCTAGCGCCGGCCTCTCCTCCAGCCCGGGCAGCCAGTGGCGCGGTGCCCAGGGAGCCTGGCTCGCCTGGGGCTGAGCTGCCGCCGGTGTTTAACGGCCCGTTATGAGAGGGCACCGGAGGGGCCGTCAGCCCCCCCCCGGGTAACAGCGGAGGGGCGGCACCGGAGGAGGAAGGATTTATACTGATGTGATAGCTCCTGCCCCCGTGGGAGACACTGACAGAGCGGCTGGCCCAGCCGTGGCTCGGCTTGGTTCTGGGCTCCCAGCACTCGGTGAGGACCATGTCCTGCTGGGCGCTGCAGAGCCGCGGAGCCGATGGAGAAGGACGAAGCTCTGCGCGGTCGGGCAGGAGGGGAGGAATGCCTGGGAGCAGTGCGGCCACGCAGGGAGGGGAGCGGGGAGGCGCTGCCTGCGGGCGGCGAGCGCAGCGCAGCACCCCTGCGGTGAAGGCTTCTGCAGATGGGGTGACAAAGAACGGCTTCCAGGAGCGCGGTGTGGTGGCTTTGCAAACGCTCAGAGGCTGCTTCTCCCAGGTGTGGGGCAAAGCAGGAGAGAGCATGAAGGGGCTTGTTGGGAAAGGGCGATGGAGACAGTCTTCTGTTGCATGGGAGATGCTGGGTGGAGGAGAGGTGGATAATGAAGGGCTGGGAGGGGGAAGATGAAGAGTCCACAATTGGGGCAGAGAAAAGAGGGTGCCAGGGAGGAGCATGGGGAGGAATGATGTGGTCTAAGCCACTGGCCAGCACAACAACTTTTGCAGCAGCCCTCTAGATACAAACCAGCAGATCAAGGAACCCTCTGCAAGGCGTGGACATAGTTGGGAAGTAGGTATCCATGGAAAGATGATGATGATGAGCCCTCAAATAATGAACAGCCAGGCTGGACGACGCCAGCTTTACCTTCAAACCAATTTCCTGACAATCATCTCTGCCCTGGCACCCCAGCTGGTCTCTGGGGCCTCTGGGTCCGTGTCTGCTCCGTGTCTCCCTGGGACAGGCCTGGTAACCTGCTCCATCTTTGGATGTTCTTTATGCCCTGTGGAGTAAAAGACATTTCAAAAACTGAGAAAGATCCAGAAGTTGTCCAGGAAAAAAAAACCCTAAAATAATCCCAGCTCTGTCATGTCTCCAGGACTGTGTTTGTACATTGAGCACGTTATGAAAGCCAGCTCTTGGGGCTGGTTCATTGACTGGCAGGAATTAGAGAGCTAAGTCACTGCAGGGCTGGCAATTAGCTGCTGTGTAAATGTTTTTGTAGAATCAGATTTCCAGCACGAGGGGAAGAGAAAAGCATTTGTAAAGCAAGCTCCCCCCTCGGCGATGGAGCCGCGCGGGCAGGGGGGAGCTGCAGCTCCTGTGCTCCGGAGCAAAGAGATTGTGCCTCAAACACGCACAGCTCTGGTCTCTGGAGGGGTAACACCCCCAAATCCTCCCTCCTGCAGTGCCAGGGAGCTGCTGTGTGGCTCTGCTTTCAGCTGGAGCAGCAGCATTTTGCATGTGGCATTTGCCTGTCCTGCCCACTGACAGGAGAGGGGCGAAAAGCAGTTGTAAATCCATGAGGATGTGACTGGAAAGCCCTTGCACCAGCAGCACCTGCACTTGTTCCTTTTCCCATGGATCCATGCATCATGGGAAGCAAAGTTTCCTTCCCTTTGCAGCCTCGTCCCACGGAGCCACGAGCTCTTGTGGGGAAACGGAGGTCTTCAGAGAGAAAAAGCAGGGAAAACAAGGGTGACCTCAGGGAGCCCCTCACTGCGAGGAAACCCCAAGCTCAGCTCTGTGCCATGGGCACGGTGCAGCCCGTCAGTGCGTGGGGCTGGGGCTGCACCACCACAGGCTCTTCTGCCCTCCTGGTTCATCCCTGTCATGGGAAGAAGCTGAGCATGTGCTGGGGGGAGAAGGGGACGGACTTGCAGGGACACAGGGAATGCCAGACCTCCATCCATAAGAACTCAGGGTTCATTAGTTCCACTATGTGCAGGGCAAGTTGCTGGAGGAGCCTGGGTTTCACGCTGAGAGCGGCCCTTGAAGCTGCGTCTGGGGTCCCTTTGATTTGGTTAATTAGACACGAAGTTTCCCTGTGCAGTGGGAGGCCGGGTATATGCCGAGGAGCACAGCAACCCCGGGTTTGCTATGGGGTAATTTACTGTGGCCGGCTGAGTGTACACAGCTCCACCCGCACCAAGCCCTCTGCTCCCGGCTGGAATGTCCTCAGCATCAGAGGTGGAAGCGCTGAGGTGTCCCTGTGCAGAGCCCTGGAGCAGCCAGCCTCCTATTTGCAGCTATAGATCAGTTTTCACTTATTCTTTCTGAGTATCAGTTAATTTCCTAAGTAATAGTTTCACTGCTTCCCTGGCCAAACTTCCTAATCCCCCTATTTTTCGGCCTAAATTTGAGCTTTGATTCAATCAAGTTGCTTTGTTTCTGCCACTCTCTCTTCCCCTGCTCCAGAAGATCCCTCGTTACATAGTTCAAGTGTTGGGGCTTGCCTGCACTTGAAGGTTAACTCTGGATGAAGGGACACAAATATGAAAGAGAGTAACTGATTCCTGAATAGTTCTGAAAAGCTTTACTCAAAGCCAGCTGTTTCTCAGTAACCCAGTGCACTGGCATGTGCGTTCCTCCTGTTAGCAGCAGGATCAGGTAAGACAAAGTCTGTAAAAACCAGGTCTGTTGGTTCCCGCTGCTTCCTCCCCATTGCTCTAAAAGCAGATAATCATCTCCCCTTCAGAGTTTGCCTCACTTCAATCCTGACGCTGTCACAGACGAAATGGGGCTACAAATTGCTCTAGGAATTCCCCAAGCGTTTGCATCCTGAGGGGTTATTTCGCAGGTAAGGAATGCAATACCGGCCTCCTGCCTCCCCTACCTGTCTGCCCCTCCATCGGGTCTGTCTTTACCAGGCTGCAGTTTCACAGGGTGTTTGCTCTGGGGATCGGTGACAGGTGTCCCACTCCTCCCGAAGCCTTCTCCCCGCAGCCATGCCAGGCTGCAGCATGTCCCTGCCACAGGCCACCACCAGCAGGTAGCCATCTGGAGATGCTGATGGAGCCTCTCGAGCTGCAGGTTTGCGCTTGGAGAGCCCTAATTACTGCATGCAGGGGCAGATCTGGGCAGTGCTCTGGGTGTACCTGAATTTAAGTTATTTAGGTTAACAGCAAATTGCATGGGATGATTGCTCGGGGATCTGGGCACACTATTCAAAGCAGAAGAAAAGCGTCTGATGAATTAGCCAATATTTTTGTTTGTGGACAATCCCTCCCCCCTAAAAAAAAACAAGAAAAGAAACAAATCTCCAGTTCTTACCAGTGTGTTTGCTACCCAGAATTACTCCATGAATCATCTATGACTGAATGTATTGCAGTCAGTGGGTTTCTTGTGTCCTGCTTTAATTTTCATCTTTGAGCTCTGGCTAGTCCTGATTTTGCTTTGTGCCGAGTGGTGGGTTTCAGTCTCCCAAGTCCACACAGAGCTTTCAGGTCAGACGTGAATACACAAGCACTGCTTTTTCATCCTAGACAGTCTTCTGCAAGCAGAAGTTTCAACTTCAAATAATCAAATAAAAATGAAACGGGAAAGTTGGTACCATCAAGTGGAATTCATAGATTTCTCCTGAGCAAAGGCGCACATTTCCCATGGTCCTGCCTCACTGATGTTCCCCTGAGGGATAACAAAGTGGTGGCGTCACAGGTAGGTGGCATTTGATGGCCCTGCCACAGCAGCGTGGCACACAGCCCTGTGTCAGGCTGGGCGCGATGGGCTTTGAGCACACCCTCCCCACACAGACCTCTTGCTGTCTGCATCCTTCCTCTGTCTCTTTTTAGCCAAAATACAACGCCTGGAATGAAGTGACTTCTGGCAAGAGTCAGAGATGAGAAAAGGGAGGAAGAGAAATGGTGTTGTCTGAGCAGAGGAGCTGCAGATGGCTGGACGTGACTCCACGGGAAGGGGAGGCAGCACTACAGAGGCCGTCTCAGCTTTCAAGTCTGGTGCTCCCAGGATCTACATGCCATTTCTTGGATGTGGTTTGCCCCCAGGGCAATCTCAACAGCTGTGAAGTTTCAGCAGATGAACAATGTAGTTTTCAATAAATTTCACCCAGCAAACAAAAGGATTTTAACTCATTCCTGCTAGCCCACTTCTGGTGTGATGGCTCTTCCAGACCTCAATACACTCACATCATAACCCCAGGGGCTGCCCTGCTCAGGTGTTTTGGAGAGCTCTTCCCCATCCAAAGCAGCTTCTTTCAGCCCACGGGTCTTGGGAGGTGTAGGTACATCTCTGTGTTTACCTGCACAACTTAAACCTCCCCCGGTGACCCAGTGTGGAATGAGGATGCTCTCACCTCCAGGTGAGGAAGGAAGAGGCAACAGGAAGAGAACTTTTCAAAATCCCCTCTTCCTCAGTGGCAGTTCTATCTCGGAAGTTCAAATTCCTTTACATTCACACATCCAGCATCAGGGCTTGTGCACTTGGAGGCCTGTTCTGATCCCAGCTGAAGGCTGATGCTATAGGTTGTAACTAAGCGAAGGGCTTTTGTGTCCCCAGATTCCTCAGTCAGACCTAGTCAAGAAATCACCTCTGTCAATACACCA